AACTGAACAAAAGATGACTTAGACGGGATTTTTAATTCATTCTTCAATTTCAAACCTAGAAACACAAGAGGCGATTTTCCAAAGGACTTTTCTTCCCCAAATCATTGGTAAGTGATTTTAAACTAATTTTTTTCGTCTTCCACTAATTTTTCCTAAGATTCAACCTATAATCTAAAGTTTTCATGGTGGAATGGGGGCTTTTGGGTAGAAACTAGGGATTTAGAAAATTGGGGATTTAGACCTCAAATTGAGGTTGGATTCCAAAACTAATTATATATCTGGGCTCGAAGTGAATGGGTAATCGGGGTTTGATCCAAACTTTGGGTTTGGACCATGCTGTCCCGGGTGTTGACTTTTGTTGACTTTTTCAATAATGGCCTAAATTGAATTCTTTGCAATCATGGGTAGTTCATAAGGCTTTATTTGAATCGTTTGGTTGGTAATTTGCTAGATTCTATTGGTTCAAAGGCTTGTTTGAGAGGAAAAACCGTGGTTGAGCTTTGCGTTTGGCCGTTGGATCGAGGTAAGTATCGTGGTTAACCTTGGCTTGAGGGATTTGGTCTTATTTGCCTATTTGCTACGTGTTTGAATGTTGGGTACAACGTGTAGGTGAGGTGACGAGTACCTATGTGTTGTTGTCGGGTCATAGCATGCGAGTGGGTCTTATTCTTGCAATTATTGCTTTCCGTGATCATATTATCCATGCTTAGACTAGTTAATCATGATGTCGATCGTTCTTATCATGTTTACGGACTTTGGTCTTTATTGAGTATTGATTCAAAGTTGAGGTTGATATTGTGGAACCAAACATTGAAGTAAGACTTGTTCTTGTTATTTCCATCTCCCTGTTGTTATTGTTCATTGTTCTGGTGAGGGAGAGTGTTAAATCATTAAGGGTGATGTCGTGCCATGTTTTGTGAGTGTAAATGCACGAAGAGTGATGTCGTGCCATATTGTGAATGTTATTGCACGAAGGGTGATGCCGTGCCATGTTATGAGAGAGTTAATGCACGAAGGGTGATGGCGTGCCGTTTCTATTGAATCATATGGTGAGGTTGAGAGTAAAAGCGCGAGGGGTGATGCCATGCATTTTCCTTTATTGTGTTTACTTGTTCCTATTGGTTCAAGGTATATTGGTTGATTAAGTTCTTATTACTGTTGTGGTTCTTCATCTTGTGATCCCCTCAGCATGTCCCCCCTCCTGAAATTTCTTGTCTAGCTTTTACTTGTCGTTATCTTTGTACATATACTGTTAAATTGCACAAGTTTATTTGTGGGTGTCTTGTCTTAGCCTTGTCACTACTTCGCTGAGGTTAGGCTCGACACTTATGAGTACATGGGGTCGGTTGTACTGATACTGCACTCTACGCTTCCTGTGCAGATTTTGGTATTGGTCCCAGTTGATCGAGAGGCATAACATCTCAGACCGGACCATCGGAGACTCAAGGTAGATCTGTCGGCGTTCACAGACCTTGAAGTCCCCGTCCATCTCTTCTGTTTTACTGTTTTTTTCGTTCAAACAGTTATATTTCTTTCAGACTTTTACTTGTAGTAAATTAGAATGTTCGTGAATTGTGACTCCAGATCTGGGTAGTGGTACATATATTGAGGTGGTTATAAATTTCCGCATTCATTTTAACTCGTTATAGCTTATTTGCTGTTAATTACTGAAATGTATAAGAATTGGTTTAATGATTTTCTAACGTTGGCTTGCCTAGCAAGTGAAATGTTAGGCGTCATCATGGTCCGGGCGGTGAAAATTCTGGATCGTGACACCCTTCAACTACTTGCTACTACAAATTTCATCAGAATTTAATACTTATCTCATTCTCTTTCCATAGCCATAGATCTGACTTTAATACAGAAAAATATTAAAACAGAAACCACAATTTTCCCAATAGACAGATATCTTTTGAACTTACCTCATCTTCTAAACAAGCATGTTCCAATCATTTTTTGTGCAATTCCCTGTGAGTGCAAGAATTAGGAAAAAGAGGAGGAAGAAGAGTTTTTGGGAGTAAAAACAAAAGACATACAAAAGAAAGACTAATGGACCGAAAGAAAAAAACATGTACTTCCTCCGTTCACTTTGCACGTTTTGACTTTTTACTCCCTTTAAAAAATAATAAATGAAGTGTATAGTTTATTATGTTACCCATATTAATTGATACATATTTTATTGGATTTGAGAAAATAATTTGAAATGAGTAATAAATACTGTGGGTATAACTGGAAATTTTTTTTATTTTTTCTTGATATGCATAAAGTGACAAGTAAAAATAAAAATCTATTTTTAGAGCCTGTTTGGATTGGCTTGTTTTAAGTGTTTTTAAGCCAAAATAGCTTTTAAGCCATTTTATAGTGTTTGGGTAAAGTAAAAAAATGCTTTTAAGCATTTGTTTTTAAGCTAAAATGATAAAAACAAGCAAAAAGCAAAAAGTTGGAATACCTAACTTAGGACTAAAAGCTATTTTAGTTTAAAGTCACTTCAAACAAGCCTATCCAAACATGCTCTTAGTATAATACCAAGTAAAAGTGAATGGAGGGAGTATTACGAGTAAGGTCACGTGAAAACTCTTCAAAGTAGCCAAAGGACACTGATTTTTGTTAAAATAATTAAGAGTCAGATGAGGTCCTAAAATGTTTGTCTTTTGCAGATAGTTTAAGGTTGAAGTTACTCAAAATGGGAAAATAGGTTTTCCACTTTTAGGAAAAATAGGAAAGACTTGGATTCCCCACGCGTCAGTGATTTATCTGGCGACGGCGCCATCAAATGGGGTGTCACTCCTCCAAACTTAAAAAAAATGTAGTTTTAGCAAAATTTTAAAAAGCAAAACAAAAGTAAAGTCTAACAAAATGAATTTTAGTTTTATGTATGACAGTCTAATAGTTTAGCGTATATTGGTGGATTCTAACGAGAGTATTTATTTTTCTTTAAATCATTAATCTATACTTAAAATATTTTAATACAACTGTTTCTTCTATCTGTATTATCATTTATATTTGAGGGGTCGTTTGGTTGGAAATAAGAGATTCCGGGATTAATTATTTCGGAATTAGTTAATCCACCTTTCCATAGAGATAAAAAAAAACGCTACAATTCTGGATAACTGATTCTAGGATTAGTATTGTTATGGATTTTAGAAAAATATGCAAGCATCAAGAAGATTGAAAATAAGATTGAAAAACTGTCTCTAAAATTTTATTAATCATAGGGCTTTAAATAGCCAAATAAATAAAGTAGTAGACTCCTCCTACAACTATATTACTAAACTCTTACTATAATTAAAATTCTGAATCTTCTAGTAGACTCCTCCTAAAACTAAACAACTAATTATTCTAGAAAGCAGTAGCAGTAACAGATGCAAAATCCAACACTCCTCCTTGCTTCTGTTGCTGCAGTCTAAAGAAGGTCATCCTCAATTCGTTCTTCTGCTATTAGTGCTTGTGCATGAGCATCTTTGAACTTGCACACTTTTGTAACATGACCTTTTTGTTTGCAATTTCCCCACAATGCATCAGGTCTCCACCAACAAAACTTTTCTAAGTGTGTTTTCTTTTTGCAATATTTGCAATAAGGATAATCGACTTTTTCTTTTTGGTGTTTCGCATAAAAAATACCCTTAGTAACTTTGTCTTGTCTGAAGGCCCTTCTTTGCTCTTGTGCTTGAAGAGCACTTATTAATTCTGCAACAGAGATGGTAGAGAGATCTTTAGACTCTTCCAGAGAGGAAATTTTGGATTCAAATCTCTCGGGAATTGTTACAAGAATTTTTTCAACTATCCTGTCATCTTTGAAATCCTCGCCAAGCAACCTAATTTTATTGACAATTAAAGAATTTCGGTCAGAATACTTAGCGATGGTCTCATCATCTTGCATTCTAAGAGATTCAAAATCTCTTTTCAAATTTAAAATCTGATTTTGTTTGCCTCGTTCACTTCCTTGATACTCCTGTTTGAGTGTTTCCCAAGCTTCTTTTGTTGTCTCACATGCAATAATTTTAGAGAAGATTGAATCTGCAACTGAATTTTGAATTATAGTTTTGGCTTTGTATTTTTTGGTTTTCTCATCTGAATGAGCTTTGATTTGGGCAAGGGTAGGATTTGCAGGAAGTGGTTGTATAAGTGTGTCTTCCATTACAACTTTCCATAGATCATAAGCTTCAAGATAAGATTTCATCTTCACTGACCAAATCTGATAGTTTTCACCAGTGAAAGTTTGTGGGGTATTCAAAGAGAGACCGCTGCTTGCCATTGTTAAAATTTGGTTAAAAATTGGTATGGGTAAAAATGGGTATGGTTTAAAAGTGGTTGAAATTGGTTGTTTTTCAGCGAATTCAGATATCCGTCAAGATCAATGGAGGCTCTGATACCACTGTTATGGATTTTAGAAAAATATGCAAGCAGCAAGAAGATTGAAAATAGGATTGAAAAACTGTCTCTAAAATTTTATTAATCATAGGGTTTTAAATAGTCAAATAAATAAAGTAGTAGACTCCTCCTACAACTAACACTACAACAAATTCGATTATCAGTGATGAATTATTTTGTCACCTAAAATTCATATTTTGTCACAAAAGACCTTTTGTGACAAATAAAATTTTGTCAATCTTTCGTCCCTAAAACACCGTCACTAATAATGTACATACACAACTTTATGTTTCGTCGCTAAATACAGTTATATTAATTACGAAATTCTTTTTCGTCCCCAAAGTGATAGTATTTATGACGAACTTGTTCGTCATAAAAAGTATAAAAAAATCGTAGTTAAAAGTGCACCTTCGTCACTAAAAGGTCATTAATGCTGACGAAATTACTTTGTCACTAACTATTTAGTTTCATTAGTGACAACATAAATCATCTCTAAAGTGATATATATTTCGTAGTTGAACAATCACAATTCTATCACTAAAAAATGCCTTTTATAGACAAAAAATTATTTCGTCCCTATGTATAAATTAGCGACGTATTTGCTTTTATAAATAAGGTTTGCAATTTTGTAGTAAAAACTATCATCTCGTCACTAAAATATTAATTTTACCGATAAAACAAAAATGTATATATAAATCGTCATGATTAGTGACCATTACAATTCTCACAAAAATAAAAAGATAATTCAACAGTCAAAAGTAATATGAAATCTCATCAATGTTGCAACTTTTTTCGCTTTTGTGAGTTCCTTCCACTTGTTTGCTTTGTTGATGGAATTGCCTAGACTGACGTCAATTTTCAACTAGGATCTCTAAACTCATCTTTCTCCCAAAAACTTCTTTATTTCTCGAGACTTTTTTCTAGCTTTTGCGCAACCTTCCTTGATTCCAGTTGAATCTGCATCTATTTATAAAAAATCAATTCAAAATACTATTTATAATGCAAAAAAATGTGGATCATATATATTAGTAGTAATTTTTAAATTACAATTGAACTTTATCATTACAACTTTAACATAAGTGAAAGTTTACCGATTCTTAATATATCATCACAGTTTACATCCACAAACTACTCTATTTGTCAGCATACACTCTATCCATATTTTCGTAACTACTAACTATCAAAATGAAAGGTAATCTTTGTAGGCTTTCTCACATTAGAATCAAATCTGAAGTGTATTAAAAGAGCAATTATATATAGTTATTATTTATATCCTCATTCATTCATTTCACTACAGAAAAAAAAGAAGATAGAAGTTTCAGAAAACAAAATCCAAGCAATCCTTTAAAATATCATAGAAACAAGGCACTCACTTGTGTAACATACACCTGTGATTAAGATAACACATATTAAGCAGGCAATTGCTTGTGAATTCAAGTCTTCTTTCCTGACTCATTTATGCATGACACCATCGAAATCTATACTAGTCCGTGGATGATGTTGTCTATAATGTTAATACCTAACATTTCAATTCTCATTTATTGTCCCAAGGGTTCACTATAATTTCAGGAAGACAGTTGTAGATTTTACCAACTCTATCCAAACATCAATGAGCAAAACACAAAGAGCATGTCACTAAAGATGTAGCAAATATAGTTTTAGTTGGGTTTCATCATTTTTTTCTTTTTCTTTCAAAGTGAAAATAGCTAAATTATTTCCATCAATCCGCAGGTCAAAAAGACATATGAATACATCTAGCTTTCAAAATTAGGAGAAAGAAAAAGAAACAGAACTTTGTTAATCCCTTACAACAGTTGTCAGTTTTAAAGGCATTGAAAATATTTCAGTGCTATTTCTATACCTCCTCTTCTACTTATAATAGCAACTACATGTATTTAGCAATTATTTGATGATTATATATTTATATAATCTAATCAATCCTGCAATCATGGATATTATATCAAATTAAATATAATAATCTATAGAATGGTAAGTTGTATTAAATATACCTGATTTACTCGAGAGTTGGAAAAAATTAGGTGGCAGTTGACCCCAAAGTGTTGAACAAGAAAACACATTTGTTGGAAGCTAATAATAACAAGAACAACATAACGATTAGAAAATGGAAATCAACAGTAGTTGGAAGCTGATAATAAATTTACTGATCGTATTCATTCTCAATATGTCCATAGGTCAGTCCCACAGACCAACATCATAAGATATACTGGAATTCACGAAAACATAAAGGAATTCTAGATTAAAAAAATGCCATAGCAGATAGATAAACAACACTAAAGTGCTTTATCGAGTGGGATATAAAATTTTAACAGAATTCAATTGGGCCCATTTGACTTCAATTTTAATGAAATTAGCTACAAAGGGTGAACAAAGGTGGCAGAAGCTCTACATCTCTACAATAAGAACTTCATTCATTTCTCTGTGTCCCAAACAAAAGCTTGTCAAGTTCAATAGAAGTTGCCTAAATTCAGAGAATTTGGCGGGAAAATTAAATTCTACACCAGATGAATGCATCACCCAAGGACATTAACTTGAAAATCCGCATCACCATACACAAGAGACCATTAAAAGTAAACTATGCTTTCTATTACCAAGAAATGCATAACCTTAGATTTTCCATACCAGCATAGATATCGAACATGTATGTTTATACTTATAATACTACACAACACAAGATGCAAGCATTCTTGTAATACTATATATACCACAAGTAAGGAAAATAGTTTTGCACATTGCTTAAACTGAAGTACTAAGATAGTCCACTAAAGAGCTTTCGAATACATTTGAAATGAAGAAATAAAGAAACTTCAAAGAAATGAATCAAATACCAATATTATGTACTGCCAATGTTCTTTTTCCTACAACAATTTGATCAACTTCTATACGAATCTGAATAGGAATTCATCTTCAAGTTCATATTTAGAGCTTACCTCTAACAGAGTTCCTGAGAGTGTCACTAAATCCTTACTCTTTCCAACAAATATGTCATTGAAGATGAATCTAGTAGGGTATTAGAAACATATAAACACGATCAAAGAGCAAAGACCAACTTGGAAACAAGGCATCAACCTCCAAATATTACTCTAATATACTAAAACTCGTATTGCCTATGCTAACCGAGGGAGTGCACCCACAAGAATTAGGACATAACTTGCTATTCTCCAAAATGTAACCTACCAGGAGAACAATTGAAACTTAAATAAAACTAGCTTAGAGTTTCAAGCCCTAATTTTTGGTTTGATGGAATGGTAACCCTCTAATGGGAGCACTGGAAGAATTTAATAGAACAAGATAACTAGTCAAGAGAATAATATACTAGGAGTATTGATGAAAGTAGAAAGGAATCTCACTTGAAGGAAAAGAGAAACATGACTATCGTGAAAATGGCGTCAAAGGGATCTACGTCGCGAAGCTCTATCGTTTCTGCGATACCCTCCAAGCAGTTTATGTCGCAGCCTACTTAACTTTGAAAAAAGTCAGTCCTTTTTATATTGAAACACATATTGGAAATACTAATTTTGATATTAAATAAATAATTTATTCTGAGAATTCTCAGATCTAGAATTCTAAGTCATTAAGTTCTTCTCTCCAGGGACGATACATTTGAATTGGGGAAAGCCCTAAGCTCTGTACGTTTACATGATAAATCAACGCCTTAAGCTTGAAATAACTGTAACTAGAGAGAGTTGAAGAAGCTTACCATTTCAAACCCTAACGTTGATTGAGGGAAGGCCGAGCATCGTTCCGTTCCTACTCAGCAGCTCTGAAGCATTTGATGAAACTTGGGAAGTTTGGAACAAAAGGAGGGGTTAGGCCAAAAGAGGGAAACGAGGAAAATTTTGCCGCCTATGCTTTTTGTGAAAAAATAAAAAATGATTATAGGCCAGAAACCAAATAAGTTATTGAGAAAATTAGATATTTGCCAACAATAGAATTATTGGCAACAACGGAAACATATTATTGCCAATTTACTTAATATTTTAAGTTATTATAATACCACACAAATAGGGCTACAAGATCAAAATATTTAGCAACAAGAAAAACTTATGGGTAAAATTTATTATGTACCAACAACTAAACAAAGTTGTTGCCAATTACTAATATTTAGCAATAAAATAATTATTGTTGCTAAAATATTGTTGCAATTTCTACACTTTCTTGTTATGATTGTGATTGTAACTAGTTTTACTGTACTTTCAAACAATTAAACTCTCCAACGCATACGTATTTGAAACTAATTGTACAACAAAATAAGATTCAGGTTTAATGGGAAAAACCTATAAGTGTAGTTTTTTTTTGAAATTTCAATTACTTCTAGTAATATAACGCTGGATCAATTGGAGAAGATAAGTCTATAAGCTTAAAATTTGAATCTTCTATCTCAACCAAATAGTAGTAATTTTGAAAATTTTACTATAATTAATCAGAATTAGCATCATTACAGTGAAATGCAAGATTAATCAATATTTGAGTAGAGTTATTATCGAGAGGTAATTTTACAAAAAAAGTATTGGTATAATGATTATCACTATTGTTATAGGTAAAATGTGGTTATAGAGGGTTAAAATATAACATGAGCAATCGATTAGAGAAAACTTGGCTACTATAGTGAAATGTTATTATAGTGGATGATTGTTATAAAGAGATTTAATTGTATATAGTGCCATAGTGGCATGCCAAACTGTTTGCACTCAGTTTAGGGGTGAATTTAAGTCTTTTCCATTGTAAAAAAGGTCATGTGTTCGAAAGCTTCCGTTATTAGTGAATAAGGGCATATTTGAACCAAGCTTCCGTTTTTCTTAATGTTATTTTAACAACTTGAGGTCACATATTTTATTTCCGTCTACAAATCATATATAAGGTCAACGATAAAAATAATGNGAAGATAGCAAAACTTCACTGATTTAACAAAGTTCTGTTGTGTTTCCAACTCTACAGAAAAGATGACGAACGAAAACCAAACTAATGGAAATGTTGTGGGAACGGGAGCTACTGTTACGAGTGCTGCTGCCTCGTCAAGCCGTTCTACTCCTGCTCATGCTATGGCACCAGCAGAAAAACCCGCAAAGTTTTCCGGTATTGACTTCAAACGTTGGCAAATGAAGATGCTCTTCTATCTTACTACGTTGAGTTTGCAACGTTTCATCAAGGAGGATCCTCCGTTCTTGGCAGAAAGTACTCCGGATGATGAATGACTTGTTGTAACTGAAGCATGGAAACATTCTGATTTCTTGTGCAAAAACTACATTTTGAGTTGTCTGGAAGATGGCTTGTACAATATCTATAGCGTCATGAAAACTTCAAAAGCATTATGGAATGCGCTTGAGAAGAAGTACAAGACTGAGGATGCCAGACTTAAGAAGTTCGTGGCTGCTAGATTTTTGGATTTCAAGATGATTGACACTAGGTCGGTCATAACTCAAGTCCAAGAATTACAAGTCATTGTGCATGACCTCCTTACTGAAGGTATGACCCGAATCAATAAGTTTATTAATAAGATTTATCTTATTATTAATTATGAATCTATTACTGAAGGTATGGTCATAAATGAGGCCTTTCAAGTCGCCGCTTTCATTGAGAAGTTACCTCCGTTGTGGAAGGACTTTAAGAACTATCTAAAACACAAGCGGAAGGAGATGACACTTGAAGACTTGATTGTTCGTTTGAGGATAGAAGAAGACAACAAAAATGTTGAAAAGAAGTCACGTGGAAACTCGACAATAATAAGGGCTAACATTGTTGAGGAGGCACCACAAAATAAGAAGAGAAAGAAGGCTTCTGGACCAAAGAATTACCCAAGCAAGAAAAAGTTCAAGGGTAATTGCCACAGCTGTGGAAAATCTGGGCATAAGGCCGTGGATTGTCGTGCACCAAAGAATGATAAGAAGAAGAAGAATCAAGCTAACATGGTTGAAAATGCTGAAGAAATGGAGGACTTGTGTGCCATGTTGTCTGAATGCAACTTGGTAGGAAATCCTAAAGAATGGTGGATAGATTCTGGAGCCACCCGCTATGTTTGTGCTAACAAGGAGTTATTTTCTTCTTATGCCCCCGCAGACCCGACGAGACAATTTTCATGGGAAATTCGTCTACAGCCAAAATTGAAGGAGTTGGCAAGATTGCGTTGAAGATGACGTCGGGAAAAATAGTGACTCTAAACCAAGTTCTCCATGTTCCAGAAATTCGCAAGAATCTTGTGTCTACCTCTCTTCTTGTCAAGAATGGATTCAAATGTATTTTTGTTTCTAATAGTGTTGTACTAAGTAAGAATGATGTGTATGTAGGAAAAGGTTACCTGAATGAGGGCCTTTTTAAGCTAAATGTAATAGCAGTTCCTATCAATAAAGTTAATGCTTCTTCTTACTTACTTGAGTCAAACACTTTATGGCATTCATGCTTAGGTCACGTCAACTTCAAAACATTGCGAAAAATGATAAATTTAGAAGTATTGCCAAAATTTGATTGCATTAATTCCAAATGTCAAATATGTGTGGAATCAAAGTATGCTAAGCATCCTTATAAGTTCGTTGAAAGGAATTCAAGTCCTTTAGACTTAATTCACACAGATATTTGCGACATGAAGTCAACACCATCTCGCGGTGGGAAAAAGTATTTTATTACTTTTATTGACGATAGCACGGGATATTGCTATGTTTATTTACTTAATAGTAAAGATGATGCAATTGATGCTTTCAAGCAATACAAGAGTAAAGTTGAAACACAACTAAACAAAAAGATCAAAATGATAAGAAGTGATAGGGGTGGCGAATATGAATCTCCTTTTGAAGAAGTATGTTTGGAAAATGGCATCATTCACCAAACAACTGCCCCTTACTCTCCACAATCTAATGGAATTGCGGAGAGAAAGAATCAAACGTTGAAAGAGATGATGAATGCGTTGTTGATAAGTTATGGTTTACCACAGAACTTGTGGGGGGAAGCTATACTTACAGCTAACCGAATAATCAACTGTGTACCTCATAGTAAAATACATTCCATTCCTTATGAAAAATGGAAAGGAAGGAAGCCCAGCTTGAAATACTTCAAAGTGTGGGGGTGTTTAGCTAAGGTACTAGTTCCTAAACCTAAAAGGGTTAAGATAGGTCCAAAAACGGTTGATTGTGTATTTATTGGATATGTAACCAATAGCATGGCATATCGTTTTCTGGTTCATAAATCAGAAAATCCTGAGATTCACGTTAATACGATAATAGAATCAGATAATGCTGAATTCTTTGAAACTATTTATCCGTATATAAAGGAAAGTGAAGTGACCTACCAAAAGTCAAAACGACCTCAGGAGGAAATAACAGATGGTATGCCTAATGAGGAAAATCTGAGAAGAAGTAAACGTCAACGGACATCTACTTCATTCGGTCCAGATTTTCTGACTTTCCTGCTAGAAATTGAGCCTTGTACCTTCAAGGAAGCAATGTCTTCCTCAGAAGCACAATATTGGAAAGAAGCTGTCAATAGTGAAATAGAATCCATATTGAGCAACCATACCTGGGAATTGGTTGATCTTCCTCCGGATAGCAAAACATTGGGTTCTAAATGGATTTTCAAGAAGAAAATGAAAGACGATGGTACTATTGACAAATACAAGGCAAGACTTGTTGTCAAAGGATTTAGACAGCGAGAAGGTCTTGACTATTTTGACACATACTCGCCGGTAACAAGAATTACATCCATTCAGATGCTAATAGCGTTAGCCGCCTTATATGGTCTTCAAATCCATCAAATGGATGTAAAAACAACCTTCTTATTTACATGAACCAACCTGAAGGGTTTGTGGTTCCGGAAAAAGAAAAGAAGGTGTGTCGACTTGTTAAGTCCCTTTATGGACTAAAACAAGCACCCAAGCAATGGCATGTGAAATTTGACCAAACCATATTGTCAAATGGCTTTAAGATTAATGAATGTGATAAATGTGTTTACATTAAGAACGTTCCAAATTATATAGTCATTGTTTGCTTATATGTTGATGATATGCTAATAATGAGCAAAGACATTGCCGACATTCAAGCTACTAAGCGTATGCTTGCTAGTAAGTTTGATATGAAAGACTTAGGAGTTGCCGATGTAATTCTAGGAATTAAAATCCAGAGGACTCCTCAGGGTCTAGCTTTGTCTCAATCACATTACGTGAAAATGGTACTTGAAAAATTCAAACACTTGGAATTTAGAAATGCAAGAACTCCAATTGACTTAAACCATCATCTTATAAAGAATAAAGGTGAAAGCACGTCTCAAGGAGTATGCTCGTGTGTTGGGAAGCTTAATGTACATCATGAACTGTACACGACCTGATATAGCTTGTGCAATAAGTAAACTTAGTCGATTCACAAGTAATCCCAACAAACATCATTGGGTGGCAATGAAACGAGTTCTGGGATATTTGGAATATACCCAAGACTACGCTTTGCACTATAATAAATATCCTGCGGTTATCGAAGGATATAGTGATGCAAATTGGATAACCGGCTCAACAGAAACAAAGTCCACAAGTGGATATGTTTTTACTGTTGGTGGAGGAGCAGTATCTTGGAAGTCTTCCAAACAAACGTGCATCGCTCGCTCTACAATGGAATCAGAGTTTATAGCTTTGGATAAAGCCGGTGAAGAAGCTGAATGGCTTCGAAATTTCTTAGAAGACATTCCGTTCTGGCCAAAACCTTTGGCTCCTATTTGCATACATTGCGATAGTGAGGCTGCAATAGGACGGGCAGGGAGCGTTATGTATAACGGAAAGTCTCGTCATATACGACGAAGACATAACACCGTTAGACAACTACTTTCTAGTGGAATTATCACTATTGATTATGTAAGATCAAAGGATAATGTGGCGGATC